CGAGCAATTAAGCGCACATTGTGAAATCAACGACTTCCTCTCAATAAAGGATGATTGTATTTTTATAGAAACATTTTACATGTGTGCTAGGAGGGTTAACCACTTCCCGTCCAGCCGCTGTATATAAACGGCCAGACGGGGGCAGTGCAGGGGCAGGTTGCTGTTTATAAACGGCGCCCTCCATTTTGAACTGGGAGCGTGCGGCACCGCTGTGTCACCAATCACTGCACGGGACCTCTGTGTGGCTTTCTCTCCTCTCCTTGCAGGGATGACAGTTTGGGCTAGGTGGCATCTGATTGGTCAGCACCATCCATGTGACGATGCTGACCAATCAAAAAACCCCCCTAGCCTGACCTGTCATCCCTGCAAGGAGAGGAGAGAAAGTCGCTTCACAGGTCTGGGGATTTGAAATCCCTGTGGCTTTCTCTCTTCTCCTTGCAGGGATGACAGTTTGGGCTAGACGGCATCTGATTGGTCAGCACCGCCCATGGTGACGATGCTGACCAATCAAAAACCCCCGTAGCCCGACCTGTCATCCCTGATTTCCTTAAAGTCAAACAGGCTGTGCACTTTGCAAAGTGCCGTTGCCCTCAGAAAGAGCAGTTGCTCCAGACCTTAGTAAATGAGCAGAAGCTCTTCTTACTTCCGCCATCCAATCATGTGCAAGCAAAAGTGCTTTTTTTTTCAATGGCGCCGGCACTGAGTTACCCCCCGCGTTCCCGCTGAAAAATAGCCTCGATCCTCAGTGACTATGGAGATATTTCTAGCATCTTATCGAACATGGTGTCTAAATCTAGAGGAGCTGATGCTCTTCCCTCCGTTTATATTTTTCTTTCTCTAATTTCTTTCTTTATTATTATATTATATCTGGTCCGGCGTTTCGTGTTTGATGTTTTTTTAACTATAATGTTTGTATTTAGATAGGAACAAGAAATGTTTTTTTTTTTTACCACCTTATCAATTTGTAAAAATGTCTTCTTTTTCTTATCATAAATGTAATAGGATCCTTCCTAATAAAAATGAATTTAATATTTTGTTTTTTAATTTTCGATTCTTTTTTTTTTTCTTTTTTGAGAGTATATTTTTCTATACAAGATAATTAAATTTTGGTAGTTTTTTTGTTTTTTCAATGACAACTTACTGTATAATCAGTTGTTGGTTGCCCTTTAATATATATATATATATATATATTATTTATATTGCCCCCCAAAAAAATATTTTTTTTTTTGGATTTTTGATTCTTTTTTTTTTTCTTTTTTGAGAGTTTATTTTTCTATTCAATAAAGATTGTTAGATTTTGGTAGATTTTTCAATGATAAATGATTGAATAATCAGTTTTTGGTCGCCCCTTCATTTGGACATTAGCAATTTGTATTTTTTTTATTGGATTAAGCTGAAAGTAAGGTTCATTTTTTTTTTTTTGGTGGGGGGGGGGGGGGGGGATATTGATCCTTATCCTAGCATTTGAAGCCCAAGGAAAGGTCTTTTACCCTAAATACAAGGTGCCATAGATCCATAGGCCTTATTTTTAGAGTTTGCATTTAGATAGGAACAAGAAATGTTTTTTTTTTACCACCTTATCAATTTGTAATAATGTCTTCTTTTCCTTACAATAAATGTAATAGGATCCTTCCTAATAAAAATTAAATGAATATTTTTTTTTTATTTTTGATTCTTTTTTTTTTTTTTCTTTTTTGAGAGTATATTTTTCTATTCAATAAAGATTGTTAGATTTTGGTAGATTTTTCAATGATAAATTATTGAATAATCAGTTTTTGGTCGCCCTTTCATTTGGACATTATCCATCTTTTTATTGGATTAAGCTGAAAGTAAGGTTCATTTTTTTTTTTTTGTTTTTTTTTTTTGGTGGGGGGGATATTGATCCTTATCCTAGCATTGGAAGCCTAAAGAAAGGTCATTTACTATAAACGCAAGGTGCCATAGATCCATCAGCCTTATTTTCAGAGTTTGCATTTAGATAGGAACAAGAAATGTTTTTTTTTTTTTACCACTTCTTTTTCTTATCATAAATACAATAGGATCCTTCCTAATAAAAATTAAATTAATTTGGTTTTTTTTTATTTTCAATTCTTTTTTATTTTCTTTTTTGAGAGTATATTTTTCTATACAAGATAATTAGATTTTGGTAGTTTTTTTTGTTTTTTCAATGACAACTTACTGTATAATCAGTTGTTGGTCGCCCCTTCAGTCATTTGGACATTAGCATTTTGTATTTTTTTTATTGGATTAAGCTGAAAGTAAGGTTCATTTTTTTTTTTTTTTGGGGGGGGGGGGGGGTAATATTGATCCTTATCCTAGCATTTGAAGCCCAAGGAAAGGTCATTTACTCTAAATACAAGGTGCCAAAGATCCATCAGCCTTATTGTTAGAGTTTGCATTTAGATAGGAACAAGAAATGTTTTTTTTTTTTTACCACCTTGTCAATTTGTAAAAATGTCTTCTTTTTCTTATCATAAATATAATAGGATCCTTCCTAATAAAAATGAATTAAATGTTTTTTTTTTTAATTTTCGATTCTTTTTTTTTTCTTTTTTCAGAGTATATTTTTCTATTCAGTAAAGATTGTTAGATTTTGGTAGATTTTTCAATGATAAATTATTGAATAATCAGTTTTTGGTCACACCTTCATTTGGACCTTTAGCAATCTGTTTTTTTTTTATTGGATTAAGCTGAAAGTAAGGTTCATTTTTTTTTTTTTTTTTTTTTGTGGGGGGGGAATATTGATCCTTATCCTAGCATTTGAAGCCCAAGGAAAGGTCATTTACTCTAAATACAAGGTGCCATAGATCCATCAGCCTTATTTTTAGAGTTTGCATTTAGATAGGAACAAGAAATGTTTTTTTTTTTACCACCTTGTCAATTGTAAAAATGTCTTCTTTTTCTTATCATAAATATAATAGGATCCTTCCTAATAAAAATGAATTGAATATTTTTTTTTTTTAATTTTCGATTCTTTTTTGAGAGTATATTTTTCTATTCAATAAAGATTGTTAGATTTTGGTAGTTTTTTCAATGATAAATTATTGAATAATCAGTTTTTGGTCGCCCCTTCATTTGGACATTAGCAATTTGTATTTTTTTTATTGGATTAAGCTGAAAGAAAGGTTCATTTTTTTTTTTTTTTTTTGGTGGGGGGGTAATATTGATCCTTATCCTAGCATTTGAAGCCTAAGGAAAGGCTAAATTTGATTTTTTTAGATTAAGCCATTTTTTTTTTTTGGTGGGGGGGGGGGATATTGATCCTTATCCTAGCATTTGATTTGGAAAGGTCTTTTACCCTAAATACAAGGTGCCATAGATCCATAGGCCTTATTTTTAGAGTACCCAATACTTAAAACTCCAAACGACATACTAGAGGTTTGCTGAATACTGTGGGCACCAGACACTCGACCAAAGTTATATCCTGTCCAGGCGTATTTAGTTTGAGGAAATTCCTTCCACTCTGGGAATTCTTTATTCACCCCGCTAATGGAAATTGCGGGATCCTCCGATGTTTTGGACGTGATAATGGCATAATTATTGTCAAAATCATCCTGGCTATTTAAGGAAAACGAACGGCAAAATGTATCACTGCTGGGAACCCGAGTTAGAAAAGGTCCGAAAGGTGTGCCTTGAAATGTTCCTCCACCTCCAAGAAGCAAAACTTGAATTTTATCTCTGCTTTCGATGAACAGAGGTGATGACATGTTGACACTGAATTGTATCTGTCTTCCAGCTGACAATCTTCTTTCTCCTTTTTTATCACCGGATTGATATTTAATGGTGGTAACTGTGGGGGACGTGACAAGCACGGTATCGTGGTCAGGCTGGAAGGGCATGCCTGGGACGGCATATGAGGTTCCCAAACCTTCAACACAGTTGAGTTGTTCGTAGACATGGCCACAACCTATGTTAGAATTAGCACATGTATGACCAGCCAGGACCACAACAGGGAAATCAGAAACCACTCTGGTTCCAGAAAGATCATCTTTGCTCTGAATTTGGAAAGTTTCATACGGCTTAAGTACAATTTCCAACTTCTCAGCCCTTACCGATCTCCTTGGCCTTGGCCCTGCCGTGAAATGGAGACTTGATTTTAAATAAATGCCCACAGGGGTTATCTTTTCAAGCGATATGATAGAAAACTCTTTGTATTCATTTGCAGGTCCCCCTGATGGAGTAGATACAATATATTCAGTCCCCAGACTTTTAACGGGATGAATCAATGTGACGTCGCCACTGTTTTTTTTTATAATTTCGGGACATCGCGGTGATATCTGCACTCGCTTTCACCACCACAGGATTTGAGAAGATACCCGTTCCTTTGAATTCGGCGTAGACCGGAATTGGGATTTTAGCAGTTTCTCCTTTTCCAACAGTGACTGCCTTTGTAAGATTGTATCTCATAGCCGTAACGGTGACAGTGGTGGAAAGGCTCCTCTGAGGTTCCTGTCACCACGATGTCCCAGTTTGGAAGCTCGTTGGAGTTCTTGTTCTGCAAAAATGTCGTGACAAACTCTCTTCCATGGAAAGCAGCTTCTTGGAAGCCTGTAGATAACCACATACAGAGATATTGATACCACGTCTGCAAATATGCAAAGGGTGTTAGCAGGGGCGTATCTACCACAAGGCAAACAAGGCGCTTGCCTAGGGCAGCATTTTTCATGGGGTCAGCGCCGCTCCCTGGAAGAAGGGACAAAAGAAGGGACACATGCAGCATGGGGACCAGGTGGGATCTGAGAGAGGCTGTGGGCTGCTTGATGGTGTATGCAGAGCCCGACACTATTCCTCCCACTGATACCAACCAATGATGGGACACTATTCCTCCCACTGATACCAACCAATGATGGGGCACTATTCCTCCCACTGACACCAATGATGGGGAACTATTCCTCCCACTGATACCAATGATGGGGAAACTGTTCCTCCCCACTGCCCCATTACACACCAATGATCACCCTTACACCAGGTGTCCCCATCAAAGTGCCCCCTTACATCAGGTGTCCCCATCAAAGTGCCCCATTACATCAGGTGTCCCCATCAAAGTGCCCCCATCAAAGTGCCCCCTTACATCAGGTGCCCCCATCAAAGTGCCCCCTTACATCAGGTGTCCCCATCAGAGTGCCCCCTTACATCAGGTGTCCCCATCAGAGTGCCCCCTTACATCAGGTGTCCCCATCAGAGTGCCCCTTACATCAGGTGTCCCCATCAGAGTGCCCCCTTACATCAGGTGTCCCCATCAAAGTGCCCCCTTACATCAGGTGTCCCCCATCATCAAAGTGCCCCCTTACATCAGGTGTCCCCATCAAAGTGCCCCCTTACATCAGGTGTCCCCATCAAAGTGCCCCCTTACATCAGGTGTCTCCATCAGAGTCTCTCACCCCCTGCCACGCCCCCCCCCCCCCTTAAAGGATAATTGTACAAAAAAAAAGTTAGGTTAAACCGAAAAAGTGGATTTTTACTACTAATATTCCTTTATGTTGACTTTTGAAGTTTACAGATGAAACAATTTAGAAATTGTAGGAAAGGTTTAGCACTCTTTGATAATTTAGAAGTGATTTTTATATACAACTATAAATGAGGAGGAAAGGGGGACAGAGGGACTTTGCCTCGAATGAGGGACAATCCCTCAAAATCAGGGACAGTTGGGAGCTGGGCACTTAAACCATGCCAGCAATTTGTAATGCCATTAGGACATGACCAGGGGCGGACTGACAACTCATGGGGCCCCCGGGCAATAGGGGATCATGGGGCCCCCGGGCAATAGGGGATCATGGGGCCCCTGTATCCTTGCCCAAACTCAAAAAAGCCTATGAAAAAGGTACCAGGGGCATCTCATGGGGCCCCCTACTGACCCCCGGGCCCTCGGGCAGGGCCTGAGTTTCCAAATGGTCAGTCCGCCCCTGGACATGACAGTCGTTATGAAGCCCCAATAGAGGTCTCACCATGATTCTGTAACACCCACTGCTCCGCCCCTGAGGAAGGGTGAGGAAGGGGAGGAAGGGGAAGCCCGTGTTCATCTTCCATGTCAGAGGTTTACGTAATAAGAATAACTCACCCCAGAGCAGCAGAGAGCACATCCAAAACGTGTGACACCAAAGACCATCCATGGCAGATCTCAGAATTACAACGATAATATTCTGTAAAAAAAAAAAAAAAAATCTTGTGATGAATATTTTTGCAACCAAGTAAAATCAGAGGTGTTCTCTCCGGATGTGGCCCTTTGCTAGCCTTTATTTGACCATTGGGGCACTATTTCTCCCAATGATATGAGGTACTATTCCTTTTACTGACACCAACAATGGGACACTTCTTACACTGATACCAATGATGGGACACTATTCCTCCCAATAATACCAATGATGGGGCACTATTCCTCCCATTAATACCAATGATGGGGCACTATTCCTCCCACTGACACCAATGATGGGGCACTATTCCTCCCACTGATACCAATGATGGGGCACTATTCCTCCCACTGACACCAATGATGGGGCACTATTCCTCTCACTGCCCACCAATGATGGGGCACTATTCCTCCCACTGACACCAATGATGGGGCACTATTCCTCCCACTGACACCAATGATGGGGCACTATTCCTCCTACTGACACCAATGATGGGGCACTATTCCTCCACTGACACCAATGATGGGACACTATTCCTTCCACTGACACCAATGATGGGGAACTATTCCTCCCACTGACACCAATGATGGGGCACTATTCCACTACCCACTGATACCAATGATGGGGCACTATTCCTCCCACTGACACCAATGATGGGGCACTATTCCTCCCACTGACACCAATGATGGGGCACTATTCCTCCCACTGACACCAATGATGGGGCACTATTCCCCCACTGACACCAATGATGGGACACTATTCCCTCCCACTGACACCAATGATGGGGCACTATTCCCCCACTGACACCAATGATGGGGCACTATTCCTCCCACTGACACCAATGATGGGGCACTATTCCTTCCACCAATACCAATGATGGGGCACTATTCCTTCCACCAATACCAATGATGGGGCACTATTCCTCCCACTGACACCAATGATGGGGCGCTATTCCCCCCACTGACACCAATGATAGGGCATTATTCCTCCCACTGACACCAATGATGGGGCATTATTATGTATGTATGTGTGTGTATGTATGTCTGTGTGTATGTATGTATGTGTATGTTGTTGTGTGTGTATGTGTGTGTATGTATGTATGTGTATGTATGTGTGTGTATGTATGTGTGTGTATGTATGTGTGTGTATGTATGTGTGTGTATGTATGTGTATGTATGTGTGTGTATGAGAAAATTGGAAATAACAAATTGAAAAAAAAAGTTTCACACAGTTGTTATTTCAGCCTACCAAATTCTCTAAATATGTTTGGAACTTGGGAGAAATTCAGAAATTAAAAACTGGACCTATTGGGCCAATGTGAAAAGGGGTGTGTGGGGGGGTAACATCATAAACCTCTTAGCAATATACATATTAGAACTATATTATAGTCATATAAATAAAAAAAATCGAATTATCTGCTATTGTATACGTGTATATATATATATATATGTGTGTGTGTATACAGTCAGGTCCATAAATATTGGGACATGGACACAATTCTAACATTTTGGCTCTATACACCACCACAATGGATTTGAAATGAAACGAACAAGATGTGCTTTAACTGCAGACTGTCAGCTTTAATTTGAGGGTATTTACATCCAAATCAGGTGAACGGTGTAGGAATTACAACAGTTTGCATATGTGCCTCCCACTTATTAAGGGACCAAAAGTAATGGGACAATTGGCTTCTCAGCTGTTCCATGGCCAGGTGTGTGTTATTCCCTCATTATCCCAATTACAATGAGCAGATAAAAGGTCCAGAGTTCATTTCAAGTGTGCTATTTGCATTTGGAATCTGTTGCTGTCAACTCTCAAGATGAGATCCAAAGAGTTGTCACTATCAGTGAAGCCATCATTAGGCTGAAAAAACAAAACAAACCCATCAGAGAGATAGCAAAAACATTAGGCGTGGCCAAAACAACTGTTTGGAACATTCTTAAAAAGAAGGAACGCTCCGGTGAGCTCAGCAACACCAAAAGACCCGGAAGACCACGGAAAACAACTGTGGTGGATGAGCGAAGAATTCTTTCCCTGGTGAAGAAAACACCCTTCACAACAGTTGGCCAGATCAAGAACACTCTCCAGGAGGTAGGTGTATGTGTGTCAAAGTCACCAATCAAGAGAAGACTTCACCAGAGTGAATACAGAGGGTTCACCACAAGATGGAAACCATTGGTGAGCCTCAAAAACAGGAAGGCCAGATTAGAGTTTGCCAAACGACATGTAAAAAAGCCTTCACAGTTCTGGAACAACATCCTATGGACAGATGAGACCGACATCAACTTGTACCCGAGTGATGGGAAGAGAAGAGGATGGAGAAGGAACTGCTCATGGTCCTCAGCATACCACCTCATCAGTGATCATGGTGGTGGTAGTGTCATGGCGTGGGCATGTATGGCTGCCAATGGAACTGCTTCTCTTGTATTTATTGATGATGTGACGGCTGACAGAAGCAGCCGGATGAATTGTGAAGTGTTTCGGGAATATTATCGGCTCATATTCAGCCAAATGCTTCACAACTCATTGGACGCTTCACAGTGCAGATGGACAATGACCAAAGCAGACTGCAAAAGCCACCAAAGAAGTGGAATGTTCTGCAATGGCCAAGTCTATCACCTGACCTGAAATCCGATTGAGCATTTCACTTGCTGAAGACAAAACTGAAGGGAAAAATGCCCCAAGAACAAGCAGGAACTGAAGACAGTTGCAGTAGAGGCCTGGCAGAGCATCACCAGGGATGACACCCAGCGTCTGGTGATGTCTATGCGTTCCACACTTCAGGCTGTCATTGACTGCAAAGGATTTGCAACCAAGTATTAAAAAGTGAAAGTTTGATTTATGATTATTATTCTGTCCCATACTTTTGGTCCCTTAACAAGTAAGAGGCACATATGCAAACTGTTGTAATTCCTACACCGTTCACCTGATTTGGATGTAAATACCCTCAAATTAAAGCTGACAGTCTGCAGTTAAAGCACATCTTGTTTGTTTCATTTCAAATCCATTGTGGTGGTGTATAGAGCCAAAAATGTTAGAATTGTGTCCATGTCCCAATATTTATGGACCTGACTGTATATATATATATATATATATATATATATATATATACACACACACACAAAATACATACAGACGGAGGATGGATGGATGGATGGATATGTGATATATGTCTGTATGTAATCTATTGTTTGGTTGAAGTTGTAGAGATCAGGACATACCTTGCTCTTTGTCAGTGACACCGTCTGTCCGTCTTCTCTCTGCCCCTGTATTTGTGGTAGGTAGTTGGTTGGTTCACCTTCTCTGGGAGGTGACATTTCGGTGACGTTTGCGGCCAGCTTGGCCTTTCTCCAGAGACTACAAACCAGTTCCACAGAGTAAGACATTCAGGCACAGAAAGTCGATGAGTTTATATTATTTATTGTTATATAATCACTTTCATGTTTTCTGATTGTTGGACCTCTGCGGTGAGAGAACTCCGTCCCTACAGTGAGCAGGGGTCCTCCTCTGTAGCTGCTGGCAGGGGGCAGGCTTTTCTGCTCTGTAGGCTGTGGCTGCTTATGTATCATGCAGGCGGTTTTGTTTTTTTTGCGACTGATCTGTTTCTGTATTGTGTTTTGCAAATGCCTTCTCAACATGTTTTTGCCACATTTTTAATGTGTTTTCCATTTTTTTTTTTCTTGTTGCTAGGCAGATTTAAAAGGCAAGTGGGGGCAGCACAGTGGCTAAATTGTTAGCACTTCCGCCTGGCAGTACTCAGGTCGTTGGTTCAAATCCCAACCACGGCTCTCCCTGTGCCTGCGTGAGTTTCCTTCAGGTACTCAGGTTTCCTCCCACACTCCAAAGACATGCTGGGAGATTAATTGGCTCTCTGTCTAAATTGGCCCTAGTATGTGTATGTATGAATGTGAGTTAGGGACCTTAGACTGTACGCTCCTCAGGGGCGGGGACTGATGTGAATGTACAATATTTATGTAAAGCGTGGCATAAATTGATGGCGCTATATAAGTACCTGAAATAAATAATAACTGTACAATCCAATCGCACACGTTCCTGCATTAAAAATGGCGGGGTGTATAAATGGGTGCAGCAGCGACTGTCGGCTGGAACCGAACAGAATCAGCGAGGAAGAATATCACCAGCACACCGAGGATCACCGGATTTAAAATTCAAATCGCACACTTCATGTTTTGCTGCAGCATTTCCATTGAAGTCTATAGAACCAAAAACGCAACTTTTTTGT